ATAAAGCTGCATAATATTCCATTTGTATATGTACCATGTTTTCTTTATCTGTTCATCCATAGGTTGTTCTCATGTCTTTGTGAATAATGCTGCAGTGAATAAAGGAGTGCAGATATCTCTTCAAGGTAGTGATTTTATTTCCTTCAGAGATAGACCCAGGAATGGGATTGCCAGGTCATATTGCAGTTCTATTTTTAATTTTTTGAGGAATCTCCATTACTTCCTCAGAGTTGCTGTATCAGTTATATTTTGAAGATTAGCCCCTTACCAGATATGTGGCTTGCAAATATTTTCTGCCATTCCATAGGTTGCCTTTACACTTTGTTGATTGTTTCTTTCACCACACAGAAACTTTTCAATTTGAGGTGGTTCTGCTTACTTAATTTTTGCTTTTGTTGCTTATGCTTTTGGTATCATTTTAAAAAATTGTTGTCAAGACCAATGTCAAAGAGTTTTTTCCATTTTTCCTTTTACCCTAGAAGAGTTTCCTTCAAGTTTTATAGTTTCAGGTGTTACATCTAGTCTTTAATCCATTTCAAGTTAGTTTCTGTGAGTTGTGTAAGATGAAAGTCCAATTTCATTCTTTTGCATATGAACGTCCAGCAAATAAGTGACTCCCTTGTCAAATATTAGTTAACTATATATGTGAAAGTTCATTTCTGGGCTCTTGATTTGGTTCCACTGATCTGTATGTCTGTTTTTATGCTGGTACTATACTGTTTTGCTTACTATAGCTTTGTTATATAGTCTGAAACCAGGAAGTGTAATGATTCCAGCTTTCTTATTCTTTCTCAAGTTTGCTTTGGCTCTTTAGGGTCTTTTTTGGTTCCATACAAGTTTTAGAACTTTTTTTCTCTATTTCTGTGAAATATGACTTTAGGATTTTAATAGGGGTTGTATTTAATCTATAGGTGGCTTTGGTTAATATGAACATTTTAACAATATTATTTTTTCCAATCCATGAAATTGCTAGTTACTTCTGTTTATTTACTGCAAAGAAACTTACTATTTTTAAAATTCTCTTAATTTTGCTAAAAATCCAAATTTTCAACTATGATATATCTAAGATCTTTTTCTTTTAAAAACCATCTTGCCTTTTGTCCAGTGAGCACTTTTGCAAGCTCAAATCTTTTTTCAGCTCAGAAGAATTGTTATTACTATTAAATTATTGTTTATTTTTTATCAGTGTTTTGTCTCCTAAAATTCCTGTTGTGTTCAATATTGTATCCATCTCATCCTTTTATTTATTTCTTCCTTTTTTGACAAGTTCATTGTCAGTTTATAATTTTCCTCTTAGCTTGTTCTTTCATTATATATTTAAGAAGGACACGTCTTGTATCAGATGTTCAATAGGCACTGGCAATTTAAGGGTGAACATCTCAGACATAAAGCCCACCTTCATAAAGCTGATGATCTAGTGAGAAAAACAGGAAGTAATCAGTAGGACCCTACATGAGGCAATGTCTTAGACTGCATTTTGTGGTTAACAAGTGATCGTCTCCCCATTTCTGAAACCACTGGTCTATAATTTGTGAAGCTGGGTCTAGGACTCCCTTGCCAGATCCTGGCTCTCTTAAGGTTCTACCAATAGTGGGTGCCAGAGGAAACTGGACAGTGAAAGAACAAGAAAGTCCACTTCCTCCTTTTCTATCCCTGTTGGCATCAACCCAGCAGAGTTCCTTTGTCTTGGAAATGGCAGATACTTCTTGCTGCCAGCTTGTTTTTCAAATACCTCCTGAACCAGCTTCATTTATTCCCCTCCAAGATACCAGCACCCATCTGCTTGGCAGTCCTTCTCACAAGTCTGGGTCTTGACTCCTTGGGTCCCTCTTCCAAGTTCTAAGATACTAGCACCAATGCCTTGTCCTTGGGCATTTGAGCTGTCTGTAAGGTTCAGAGCTCTTTAATGCCCATCTCATCCCTTGGCTCCCCTCTCCCCCATTCGTAGGGTAGGATCTGCTTCTACCAGTTTACCTTTTACCTTTTTAGTCTTTCAATTTTACATTAATATTTTCTGTCAAAACAACTGGTGTGTTTTCTATTTTCCTGCCTGGGTCCTGACTGATAACCTGTCTTTTGTTTCACTAGTTCAGTTTTCTGCATTATTCAGTATGTTGTTTACCATCTCCTTGATAAATATATTTCTAATTCAGCATTAATTTTCTTTTTTTCCTGCATAGTAGCAGTTTTCTTGATTTCAGATGTTATACTATTTATAACTCCCTACTCTAGATTCTCAGTTGCTATTTCCTTTTGATTTTAAAGAACTTAAATTAGAAGTTATTTAAAAATGCTTCTTGTTTCTTGTCTTAGAGGAAGCCATTTAATTTAAGTACTATGGTTTGTCTCCTTCATTTCTAATATAATTCCTTTTTATATGGCTGGGGATGTCTTCTCTATTTCAAATTGCATAGGTTCCTATAAGGATCTTTTAAGCCTTGAAACCAGCATAGGTAATACAGATATTTAGTTTGCCAATTCAGAAACTAATTAGGTTGCATGCCCTATGGTAGGGATCATAGGTAGAGCTAGATTTAACTCTCAGGCTAAGAGTCTATTTCCATAATTTTTAGTATATGCAGTAGTTGGTGGAATACGGTGTGTTAGTCCTCCTTGGGAGCCCAGTTCCCTGACCACCTACTTTATTGCTTTTAATACTTAATCTTTGTATTTCCACATTGAGGGGTGTTAAAATGCTTCTTAGTGGAACTCTTCCAATGATTCCAAATATCACTTGGAAAGAGAAAAAGGATGGATGGGTCCTTTCTTCAGTCTGATCCTACCTGTATGAGATCCCATAGAAATTTCTCAAAGACCTTGTTTATAGACAATATCCTTTTCTATATCCTATTCAAAGTTTTCCTTTTTTATATACGTGTTTAATAATCTATCTCTTTGAGCAGTTGGGTATGGGGAGGAAAAAGGACTTTCCTGTAGTTGTCTTTGCGTCTACCAATGTAGATCATGTAGGGGAGGGTGGAGGTAACCATGACTTACGCATTTGTCACATTTTCCATTTGTATTAAGCAAGCAAAGGGAATAGAAGCAGAAGATAAAATTGAAATCCCCACTACTAGTTTTCTGTGCTTCATCTGGTTGAATATAGATTTGCTGATGTTATCAAAACTACAATCATCATTTAGCAACAATGAGCAAGACTTTCTTCAGAAAAAAAAGGCATCAGGAAAAGAAACACATGGCTAACACACCAAACAAAGTTAGCCACAAAAACCAACTGATGTCTTGTGTTAGAGTTATTCACATTCTGTGATACACTATTTTCAATGTAGTTTGAAGGAATAAATAAATCACATGGGAAAGAGATTTTTGACCCAAAGTTCTTTTAGAGGAGATCAAAAGAGAATATGTGGCAAAACTGTGTGGGAAACATGAGATTTTTCCTTGAGGGGATTCCTCACGATCCTTCCTTCACTCATGGTTTTGTCATCAGTACATGGCCTTCATCACATAGTCAGAAATTCTGCATCATTTACAAATCTCAGTGAGAAGGAAGCTGGTTTCACACTTTGGGGGATAGCAGAGAAATGAGAGGATAGATCCCGCCACCTGCCTGTGATGCAAGTCCTTTTAAGATCTTTTGCCTCCTATATATTGATGAAGATCTCTGAATATATAGCGACCACTGACAAAAGACATGGGTTGCCTCTGGGAGGGAATACATTAAGAGTAAAATTCAGAAGAAAGTGACTCCATGGATTGCTGTGCTTGTTATTCATGGGAGTGTTTTTGACTTGCTAAAAGCAAGTTTAATGTATTTATACAATTTGTAAAGATGTAACTGATTCTGGAGCTCTGCTCTTTACAGGGAACATATTTCATGTTATTGTAAGCACTAAAGAAAATTAAATCAATAAATCCACAAGCCTGTAATTTGAGATACTCAATTGAAGAAAAATAGATTGTCAGGGAGGGAGGGGGAAATCGTTTACATTGAGGAAGACTTGTAAAAAAGTCTTTGCTGTAGGATCCCAGGCTTCCCAGTGACAGCAAAAATGAAGCTTAGGCTATAACATTATCAAAGTGTCATTATAACACCCAGGAAGAAGCAAAGGCCAGCTCCCTTTTGATAATGAAGCTTATGCTCAAGTGGCATGTCATGCAAATGAAGCTGGTCCTTCCTGAACTGCTCTGTGTCCTCTGTCCTGAGAAAGCCTTGCTGGTTAGCAGGCAGCCGCTGAATGTCAGGATGGTGGATTTTTCCCCATCACTGGCAGCAATGCTCTGTGACCACAGGCAGGCCAATTAACCTCTCCAAGCGTCCCCTTCCATGTGTAAAAGGTTAACAGTGCAGCTTATTTACCAAGTGCCGTGAGCCTTCCGTGAAGGACTCTGCACAGATAGCCAGCATTGTTCTCGGACTGCAGGGCACTGTATTTTTTAATCATATGTTTGCTTGGATAGATTATAGATTTTGTTGTGGTTGAATGTTGCCCCTTCTCCCCATTTACAAATAAAAGACTAATAGGTAATGTCACTCTCTTATCATCTTCTAGAGCCCCCTAGAGGGTTAAGGGAATGGCAGAGGTTACGGATTAATAATGCACTCTTTAGTTAATAATAAAAAACCACGTGCATCTCAGCTGCATAATAGCTGTGGATGGCAATTTATTAGGCCAAGTGTGTCCGGATGCTGAGCAGATAATGCTTGCAGAGTCATGAAATGACAGGGGTTTGGTTTTTTTGGTGGGGGGTGGGAGGGGAGGAGTATGGGGGAGGGGGCAGTCGCTTATTTTCCTATTTCCCCAGTAATCTTTTATCCTTCATATCAATATAGACGTTAGGAATAGTTTGGACAAGGTTTATTTCAAACGTGCTTGTGAAGATTTGGGAAAACATTCTCTCATCCCAGATCTCACAAAACAAGTGACTGTTGGTGTGTATCTAGTTGTGACATTAAGCTCCGTGCTTCTTGTATTTGGAGTAAATGTGAATAATATGGCCCTGGAGCAAAGTTTCATATATCTCACACTTCTTTGCAGATCTGCGGAAAAACTTTGAACAAGACCCCCAGGGGAGGGAGGTCCCCATCGAAGGCATGATCGTGCTGCACTGCCGCCCGCCCGAGGGAGTGCCCGCTGCTGAGGTAAGGCTGATTCTCGGGGCCAGGCCTGCCCCCGTGGGGGGGCCCGGAGTCCTGTGTGGTCATAAGCGGGGTAAAGAGCCTGTGCTCTCCAGCCACAATTGCTAAAGACGATGATCAAATTGGGAAGGAAATAAGTTGGAAGAGAAAATTGTCTCCCATCTCTTTTCTGGCTCTCCCATGCTCTGGCTCTAGGCAGCCTGGGTAGGATTCTGTCTGTATTCTTGCTCTCAATGACCTCAGGTCATGCAGGTGTCACCTGTGTCCCCAGCAGTCACCTTGTGCACTGCCGCATGCACACTGGCCATGGATCAGTCTGAGCTCTCACAGGCCAAGTGCCCTGAGAACGTGCCCAGGGAAGGCAGTGGGCCTTGGTGCTGGTTTTCACTGCTGTGTGCCCTTACTCATTTATCCACTTCTGGAACATTCTTTGAGCATTTATTATGTTTTAGGCACTGTGCTGGCATGCAGGATATAAAACATGCTGAAGCCACAGGTCTCCTTCCCTGTGAGGTGTCTGGAATCCAGTGTCACTATGGCTGCTCTTTGCATATGTTCTAGAACTCCTACTATATTATTAGAATGTCATTGTCACTGATAACACACTGCGGTAAGAGGGCAGGCTCCCCAGACCTTTCAGTCGTGGTTACAAGATGTTCCAGTCGGCTAAGTACAGTTATTAGGCAGTTCTGGGAGGGAGAGTTAAGAAATACCAGAAATGCTTGGTAGGATGGTGAGGTTATAACCCAGGCCTGGGGTGGGCCGTGCATCGTCCAGCGGCTGCTCTTTGGGAAGCTATCCTTAGAGTTACGGTTTCTTCCCTGAGACGTGGAGATACGAAGACAGCACCGGAGATACAATTTGCCTCACCTTGTAGCTGAAATTGTTGTGGGATTGTGTAATTGGAAACAAAGGAGTAGAGGCATAAAGGGGAACAAGGAGACACACACACACTTGGATATTTAGACAGAAGGCATTCTGGGTGGTCACTATTAAAAGCTCAGATGGGTCATCGGCATGAAGCAAACAGACTTGAAAATTAAAGTGACCATCCCATGCGTGATAGGAAATGATTAGAAAAGAAAATGCTTATTTTCAGATTTTTGTTTAATGTGAAACAAAAGGACATTTAATCTTCATTTACTGCCTTCTCATTCCTTCCAGAGTGTGCCCTGGTTTCCTTAGCAGAGTGACCGACAATGGGGTTAATGGGTCTCATTTAGGACCCTCCATGTGCCCCTGGGAGTCTAACTTGGGTATCAGTTTGCTATAGTCTCTAAGGATCTCTTAAAACCCCAATTTACAAAGTTCTCCATGTGACATTTGGGAAGGGGGGCACTATTGAACTTAGTACATGAACTTAGTTTGGTCAATCTGCCTTTGATGTCATATCGCTCTATTATTGTAATCATGTGTGCTACTAGGCAGGAATTTCAGAGCCAGGCTGGCTGAAATTAAATAGAGGACTATTCCTAGGAGCAGCTAGGACTGTAGGACAGTTGAAAACAGAAATTCTGAGGTGAGAGGGGGAAAAGCTTTGTTTTGTACATTTCATGTTGTAGATGGATGTGGAGAGTGTTTCTGCTTCCGGGTAGATAATGGGCTTTCTGGGGGCCCTAACCAGCCTTCCTGGCATCATCTTAATGTGGGAAAGCAGCCCAGTTCCAAACACTTGAGTCACTTTGGAATTCCACATACTGACGAGGTAGATGCTACCCATGTCTGTGCACAATTATTTACAGCTCTTGCTGTTCCTGCAGTAGTTGCCAGAGTCCTTCTTACCACCAATGTCTATGTGTTTGTCGAAGGTAAGGCAGAATAAGAGAAGAAATCTAGGAGAGGTCAAGGAAAGGACAGGAACATGGAAATGTCCACAGCCTGTAGCGGTTGGGCCTTCTGGGCTGGTGGTCTGCCTGTGCCTGTCATGTGTTCTCTCCATCTCAGAGCAGATCTGTGGCCTCCTGACATCAAGCGCATGTGAGGATCCTCCAGTCAGTGACTTGCCGTGGGGTGGTAATTGGGAACTATGCCTGGACACTGCTCGGCTGTGTGATGTCACCTGGCAGAGTTGCCTTCCCTGAGCAGCTGTGTCCCTCCCTCTATGCTGCCCACCTCCTCTGGGGGCCCTGGGTCACCACTGGGAGAGGTTGTAGTTGGCGGGACCAGTGGTTCATCAGCTTTTGTCAGGAGACATAGAAGGTCTCCTACTTGACCCATTGAAAGGCACACTGGGACAACTTGTTTCCACAAGACTTGTATGATTGTCTTCTCTCTGCAAGATAGAACTTTCTTGGCAACTAACCCACCTGCAAGACCAGGGAAAGCTACCATTTACGGAAGGTCCTTATGAGCGAGTACTGGGTTAAATAATTTTTCTCCATGTTACTTCACTTGATTTGCATAAGACTGCTCTGAGATGGGAGAAGACTAGTGGGGTTCTCATGTTCATCTTAGAGGACCTTGTCCGACCTCTCAGATCCCCTGGAAGCCAGTCACACCTGAAAGCCCCTTTCCTTTCTCTGACAGTTTGTGTTTACCGGGTTTGGTCAGTCTTCCCGAGCACTTCTGAAGCTGGAGCCCTCAGCCAGTGGTGACATATCTCTCTGCTCTACTGCCCAACATTCCACCCTTAGAAACAGATTTTTGGATTAAAATCTATTCTAGTTAATTCACTTATCATAAATTCGCTGTGAACTCTGCGTTGCCTTGTTTGAATAGGTCATATGGTGATAAAACTAAGAGCAGAGCCCCGACAGAATAGCAGCTTTGGGAGCCAAGGGGACGCGGAGTCTGGGGCAGGAGCCCACTCCCAAGGCCCAGGAGCCTGTGTTTGGTGCTATCCTAGGGGGTGGGAGGGTGCTGGATGTCTCAAGTTATGGGAGGAGAAGAAAAAGTGGCATATATGAGGGGAGGCGAGAGAAGGGTGGGTCATCCTTGCCTCCTTTACAGTTTTCCTACAATGTGGCCATGGCCCTGACTGTCGCCACGGGCGCAGGCATACCTGTGAGTGCTCGTTGACGCCTGCTCTCTGTCCCAGTGTGCACCGGTGCAGTAGGAAAAGGGAAAACCAGGACCAAGGCTGGTCAGTGTGGTGCAGTGTGGCGGGAGGGGTGAGCTGTGGGCTCAGCAGACCCCGGGTCAGACCCTGACGGGTACCTCCTAACGCTGTGCCCTTTAGCAAGTTAGCAGCCAGCCCAAACCTCCGATCCCTCACCCGAAAATGGGAACAGTACTCGCCTTATAGAAGTGCTCAGAGGCCAAGAAGAGAAATAAAAACCCAAGAATATGCCAAACGCTCAGCACCATTTCTAATACTCATTGAATACTAGAGATTGTTGTGGTTTCTCCTCCTCCTCCTCTTGTCTTTTCTAAAGCTTCATGAATCTCTGGTTCTCAGTGAAAGATGTTAGGGTTCCATCAAGGTTAGGGAGCGAGATTAAAATCAAAATTCTTGCAAGAATCTGACACATGTCGAGCCCCGTGAAGAAGTAGGAGTTTACTGAGACCACGTCTTCTCACCCCACTGCCCATGAGCGCTGCCCCCCGGCCTGTGACCTCTGAACAGGCTGCCTTTCAAGCTCATACAGAACAGAGACCCCAGCCTGCTTTCCTGTCATGTAACCTGTCCTGTGGAAGAAATAAATGCTTACTGACAGAAGCCGATGACTAGCCATGTTGGTCTCCCTTACTTACCCCATTGAAGACTCATAGGAATCATATTAGTAGTAGTAAAACACTTAGCCAAAAAATGGTATATGAACTTAAAGATTCTCACCAGACTCATTTAGACACTGGTTTGATGAAATGGTAGGTCACACACGTTTTCCAAAATCCCTGAAATATGAATGGATGATAAGCTTTCCTAAACTCATGAGCTCATCCCATAGTTGGATGTATTATGACATATGGGTCACTACAGTTACTTTTAACCTTAACCTTGGGGCAGTTCTAACTAAAGATAGCAACTTTAGTGTATGACACTTGTTGTTTAGCTAAAACCAGTTTGCTCTTTTCAAAACAATTCATTATCCTGCACTGCACTTTGTTATACTCCCCAATTAAATGGAAAATCTATCTTTCATAAAAGTTGGAAATTACGTCCGATGAAAATCCGACATTTTAATAGTTTTCCACAGATTAAAATTGTAGAGTTCTCAATAAACCCTGATTTACTGATGTTGGCTATAAAATGGTTATTGCTGTTAATAAAGCCTGTAAATCTTAACAGGTTATATTTGCCTTGGACAATAAAACTCGCCATAAAGGCTTAGTGTCTAAGGCTAATTCTGCTCACATCAAGGTAAACAGCCTACTCAAAATAATTCAGTGTCTTTGAGAATTAAGGCCCCAAAGCTAAGCAGGTGACAGATTCTCTCCCTGAGCCACTGCATGCCAAGCACTCTCCTTGTTTTTATCTCGCCAAGGAGTCAAGACGGTGCAGGAATTAGAAAATTCAAGACGAGCAAGGGCCTTAGCTGGTGCAGTGTGGGTAAGGAGAGGCCCACTTCTTTCTGCAGGGGCACCAAGACTATTTTGCCATTGAGGGGCCACTCAGCTGGAATGCTGGTGTAACATGGGGAGGTTCTAGGAATGGAGTGAAGGAACGTGTTTTCTGTTTCATAAAGTGTATCAGAGTCATGCAAGTATTAGAAGCCAAATTACTGGGGGCAGGGAGATTTGGGTGAGGAGTTCATTTTCCTTCCAGATGCCTGTGTGGAGATCAAAGTGTTGATGAGCATTTCTGTTATTCTTGGTCCATTTGGTAGACCGTTTGACATGTCTTCTGATGTTCGTGGAATTTCTTTTTAAGCCTCCCCCCAATAAGGTAAAAACCAAAAGATGGACTTTCCTAGTTTTCTTTGTAGTTAGGCTCCACGAATCAAGTGTTCCCATGCAAGGTGGGACATAGAAGTGAGCAATGTGGCATTTGTGTGGAGTTCCTTCTCTGGAGAGGACGATGGTGGAGGCGGCAGGCACGTAGGAAGACCTGGGATCATCTCTCT